TAAACCGATGACACGGTGCTGGATGAGTGGAGACGAGCGAGCCTGAGAGCGCTGAAGCTTTGAGTAACACAAAGTTAGCGTACGTCAGTTTATTCTGCAGGAAATTTCACAGATACTTCACATCATACAGTATCAGTATCTGACGATATCACATGCAATCTACAAAGTCACTAAGAGCAATGCTTCAACTCTGACCTCCTGCTGTCACGTTCCTCTGAGTGAACTTTGGAAATATAGCGAGTCTGCTCGCTGAAGGTCCAGGCGCTGTATTTTCAAACAGCTTGTGTGTTTGCTGAAATGCTGCATTTGAAACTGCCTGACACAAAGTCATTACCGTCTCTATGCTCGCTGCTCTGCTAGATGCTGAAGTGCTACAACCACAGCTTGTAGGCATCTGCAACATGAACGCTGTCCTGGATCGTTCTGTCTTTAAGCCCTGAGATATAAATGATGCACCAATAGGACTGTCTTTACCCATTATTGTTTCTTCATTGATGATGGTGGTGAATCACCTACTTTTAAAAAACTAAATAAACAAGCGAGGGGATCAGGACAATCATAGAGGCCTGCGTGATAAACTGAGGGATTTCCACACAGATTTAATAACAACATGGACATGCAGGAAGACCGTGTGTCTGATGGCTTCATAAAAATGTCCCTAAATTACTGTCACACTCGTGGTGCTCACCATGGTGTCCTGTTAGACTTCATGACTGTGGAGAAGAGCTCATATAAAATCATGCATGCCTGCAGGGCACTCGTTCCTCCTTCAGCTCCTTGATTCATCTGCAGTCTGAGACACACTAGCCTCCTCCACCACACCGCCAACAGCCGCAGCGACAGAATGATGTAAAATAACTTTAGTCCACATCTTTAAAGAGCCTGATTTGGTTTGTCACACTGCTAAAGACAAGATGTGCATCAGGTGAGAGCAAAAGGAAATTCTTATAAACAGCAGGATCATGTCAACACAAGGAAAAGCTCAGCGCTAATCATCAGACACATTGAACACCAACCAACTCAAAACTCATCTGTTCAAATCTGCATATTCACTGTGAATCCACCGTTTGTTAGTTTTATCTTGTGCTTTTGTTTTATTGTTCTTATCTTGCCATTGTTATACTGTGTCTTCTTATTGTAAAGTGTCCTTGGGTGACTTGAAAGGTGCTCATAAATAAAATTTATTATTATTATTACCCTGAATCATTTAAACCTGAACTTTACATTTAACCAAAATTATGACAAACATATTTGTTTTGTGTGTAAGATAAATACATGCATATCAAAATAAGCCAGCGCCCTCATGTTTACAGGCAGAATCACGGAGCCTGTGAGGACGCTGCAGGACAGGAAGAACCTGATGGTTCAGCCTCACAGCTCACCTGTTCTGACTGTTGGACAGCCTCTGAGTTCAGTCTGCCCCCTGCTGGTCAAACAGACTTTATATTATATTCTACACATTTAAACAGCTCCACGTCTCCTCTGTGCCTTTGGATCCAGGTGTCACACAGTCGTGTTCTCAGAGAGTTCCTGCCGCTGATTAAAGACAGCACTGCAGCATTATTACACAAATCACTGAGAAATTGTTTGTTCTCACTAAAGACAGGCTCTACCTGCACTCGGCCACGCCCCCGTTTGCACATAAAAAGGAAACAGGTGGAGCTGGAGGTGACGGAGGAAACGAGACAAAAGATGTTTTATGATTTTGTGCATTCTCAGTTTTTCTTCTTCAAACTGGAAACACGTCTGCTCGATGTGCAGCTCACGTCACGCTGCAGAGGACCCAAGATGGTGGTGGAAGGGGGTGGAGTCTGTCCAGTTAAACATAAGATGAACCTTTATTAGTCCCACACGTGGGAAATTTTTGGTCACAGCAGAAAGAAGGAGCTGCTCAGTGCTGTCAGGGTGTCCTGCGTGCGCTGGGAGATGTTGGACACCATTTAGAGACGACATCAGAGACGAAGCTCGTTAAAAATCAATTTTTATTTTAAATCAA